AATATATAGGTTAGTTATTATTAACCTTTGGTTTATATAAATTCATTAGTACCTACCTATTTTGAAAAAAATATTAGGTACTATTAACAATGATTCAAGTCAGATACCTTCTCAGATGTTATAATATCTTTAAAAAAGTGAAAAAAATACCATATTAATCAATTTTACAACGCGTACCTACTACCTAGTAAGTGTTTCACATGATTAAAAATTTTCTCAAGTTTAAAACACATAATGTTTACATGTCATATACATAAACGGAATATAATATGGCCTATGATGGATGGATCATTGTTAAATATTTTATGCAATAATATACAAAATACAATTTGGTTATTTTATTCTAGTAATTTTTTTTATTTTTATAACATGATGAGGTCGCGGCTAGCTTAATCGTAAACCGGTCTCTATTATTACAGATTCATAGTCACACAAACACTATCTATACAATAAGTCAATGGTTGACCGTTATTAAATAAAATATTTAAACTTAATGATTTTATACCTCATTAAAATATTTCTGTACAACAATATTTTAGTCCAAAATGGAAAATTTAACTTGTGTTTAAGGCTGCTGTTTAATCCAGTGAGTTTCAATAGGTAATTAATTTGCGAATAATGCAATAAATTTAACTGTAATTGGACAACTGTTTTACGCACACATAATTCCTTAAATTGTTTAGGTTATATTTACGGGTAACTGAACTCTTTTACAAACTTAACTCATGTGTTGAGTAAAATAATTTGTCATTAGGTCCGTATTTTGTTTTAACGCTTTCTGTTCTACAAAAGATAAAATTATGGGTGTCCTAATGTGACAGACTATATACTCTGTTCAAGTTAAGAAACGTAGTCGGCGGCCAATATTACATGACAGGTATACAGATATTCGATCGGGTAGAATGACAAGCGAGTTTTACCTGACTGAGGACGGACGAAAACTGGTCGCCACCGACTATGTTTCTTAAGTTGAACAGAGCATAAATATGATATACAGATATCTTACTGTACGTACTATACGTACTATGCAGGCAAGTGATAACTACAAAATTAAAATTTTATTTTTTTCTAATTTTCGAATGGAATATTCCTAATCTAATATTGATTCATACATTACAAAATTGGAAATTAGTAGGTACCTATAATATAATATGTATGAATACATTTTTAAACAATTTCTAACCCATACCTATCTTGGAAAAAGTAAAACCATAATAAATGTGAAGTTATTTCTACTTTCTACTTTACGAAATTTGCAAATCTAATCATAGTTATTAAATTTAAAATACTAAAACAGCACAGAATTATACCAAGATGAGTGAAGCGTTATGAGTGCCAGTTACTTATTCTTTAAATCTTAAGTATATACTATCGATAAATCCCTTCAGCTGTGCTGGTTTATCATCATATGCAGATAATTTATTTTATACTTAATGATTATCGTACACATAAAGATAAAGCAATTAAGTTAGATTTTAACTAAAAACAATAAAATGTTAGCTGAAAAAGCTTTTAAATTATCCAACAAGTAGGTATYTATAATTTTAGGTTAAACATTTACAAATTGGTAAAAAACTATAATTATTATTAATATATTGTTATATTGTACTTATATACTTATATTACCATGATATTTATAATGTTTTTCTTTTCACGCACATTTAATCTATTAAAAATTACTTTTGATTGATTAATGATGATGATAATACAATATTTGCTCTTTCATTTTGGATAGTATAACTATAAATGTCAGTATTTCACTCAAATTTATACGAAATATTGTGTTACCCTTAAGTTAGAATTATATGAAAAACATTAAAAAAATAAAGGGGGAAATTAAGTGACCACTATAACCATCTGCTGTACAGAAGGTGTGGACGAGTATATATATTGGTATTGAGGAAGTTAATGTAGGTAATTTAAAATTTAAAATAGGTATAGTGTAAAATTTTAAAATAAATTGAAAATATGATTGTGTAATTGTGTATACTTAAATTTGATGATATATGTTTCAAGTTCACAAATTATTTTAGAATTATAACAAAATAATTTTTTATAATAGAAAACATTTTCAACTCTCAACTTAAGCATTTATATTGGAAGAAAAGTGAATCTAGTTGGTAACTTAGGAAGAGGGTCAAAAGTAAAAGAATCCTTGTAGTTTGAAAAAGCAATGGGAAGAAAAAAATATTTAAGAAAAATGGAATTTTTACACAAAACCAAATTCTGACAAAATCAATTTTATTTTTTTTTTTGGCCAAAAAACTGGTGTAACTCAAAAACTTATAACAATGGATACTTATGTTATTTTCACAAATTTAAAAAAAAAATTTCAACCATTTTCTATGCATAATAATATTCTTTAAATATTTTGATTCTTTTTTAAACTATATTTTAGTCATGATGGGTAATTTTAGATTTTTTCAGTTTTTTTTCAATTATTGTTAATTTTTGCCCGGTCAAAAACCTTAATAATTTATTATAATGTTTCTTATAATTTTTTATTAGTTTAATAAAAAAAAAATTTAAGTGTAAATCCTCAATAATTTTACGAAGTATCAAAATCACGAAAAACTTATAATAAATTACCTTGAACTAGTAATAAAATATCAATGAATACGTGAAACCATTGTAATAAAGGAACCTACTTAACTAATAATCTAGAATTATAATATTGTAGTTTTTGATTATTAATAATTATTATATAATGACTTTTTTATTCGTGCGTAGTATTTATTAGAATTAGAGTTCTGGCTAATTATATTTAAAAAAACACACATCTATAAGACAATAATTCTTTTCGTTTTTTAGGTCTCATCATGAATTGATTTTGGTTCTTTTTACCATTTATAACCAATTCATGGAAATTAAAATAATAAATTTTTGTGCAAAGTCGACAAAATTATAAACAAGTTATGTTAACAGTTATGAACAATATAAAAGCAAGTGTCGGTTTAAATTTGTCTGTAAAATTAGTATAGGTACACCAGGTAGGTACAGGGGAAAAATCGAATTTGAATAAAATATTATTTGGTTTTTTTTTTCAATTAGAGTATTGTATGTAAACTATACGAGGGTGAAAATGAAGAAGAAAAGCGATTCCATAGTCGTTTTCATCAAATGGCTAGCCAGTAGAATACAGTTTTATTCCTCTCTCGTTGATCATTAATCACAAGTTTTTACGAGCGTTTTCCCCTGTGTCTACCACGTTTACCCGCAGTTGGACCGGCTGGAAAACAGTTTTAATTAACAGCTAAATGTCTCTAATAGCTCCCTCGACATTACTTTAATCTGGAGCTAATTAGAGCTGCGGCGAAAACTCTCCTCCCTCCCCTAAACRCCGCCTGTTCACATTGGCACGTTGGTGGACCGCTCCTTGCTTGCTCCGCCTAACATAAAACCACTTTTTAATCTCTGAAGGAAATTGTAAACTCGCCCTAGCTCATTTGTTTTCTTTAACGGGACCATCGTTCGTATGTATTTAGGATCAATGTCACACATTTAACTTATTGAATTAATGCGTTTATACTGTAATTAACGAGAACATATTTTAATCTTGTAAAATATGTTATTAATAACACAATTTTATTAATTGAATTTACTGCGTATTATAATTTTCACATTGTCGGTGCCATGTAAGCCCGTTTTATATATTATTGATGTATCAAATATCAATAGCGTTATTTTTCTTTTAACAGAAATTTGATTTTTGATTATTAAATTATACGGGGTTAATAACGACGAAACAGTTCTATATTTTTATTACAATTTAATTATAATTATAATTATTTATTAATATTGTTTTACCTGCATACTTTAACGAGTAACCTAGTGATAATTCTGTTTACCTACTTCTATATATTACATTAAAATATGATCTATTCAAATAATTCAGCGCTGGATTACTGGACTATGAAATTCTACCTAATTAAATTAATTGAACAGTGATTTCGCAATAATGGTACCATTGTACCTAGGTGTTTTGTATACTTGTATTGCATAGTGGTATGGTAATACCACTTGGTAGGTGGCTACGCATGTTAATTACTGTAGGAATTACATATGTATGGTGAAACTAGTAAATACTATACAGTATCTCCATAATTCAACAATGCGAATCCTAAAAGGACATTTTATGAAGGTTTATAGCTTGCTTATTTATTTAATTACACATAAACTAATAACCAAATAGACTTTATTGTATTATAGCGTAGGTCATATAAAATAAATGAGTATATAGATGATAAATTAATATTGTAAGAGCCTCTAATACAGTGTTTGGTACCTACATCAGATTTTGATGAGAAATTTAAGCAATTTTTGTTTTATAYATAATATKTTRTTTTATTTTTTCTGTAATATTCACATATCATAAGTTATTTACAGTTTACATGAACAAAGCGTGCACTTAAACAATTTTCAGATTTTGATTGAGTACTATCATTTAAATCCATTAAATATACTTCATATTATCTATTATTAAAATATTTCATAATATTAAATTAGTAGGTAGTAAGTACGAATAAAAACAGTCACACAAAAACATACAATTATCTCTCTCGTAAAACTAAAATAAATATTTTACAATATTGTTAAAGAACATTAAATTTATGTAAAAGTAAATAAACTCGGTAAATAACAATATTTTACTAAAATACAAGTATGCACGATGTGTTTATCATATTATAAATCATGAATTATGATAATATACTATTTCAGACGATTATTTTAAACAAATATATTACTGAAAACTTGGATTAATATATTCATTACATAAAATTAAAATTTTTTAGTTAGGTATACATGTTTTGTTAAATATAATGATTTTCAAATAATTTCTAAAGGCTTAGAAATATGTTTAAATGAATACATTACTTTTTAATTGTCTTGTTAATAAATTATTATTTTATTTAAAAGTAAAATATTATGATAGGTATATAAAAAACAATATAATGTATATYGATTTGATCTTATTATAATTATATTATAAAATAATTAAAACCAGTTAATAATGTYTATAATACAAACTGACCAACGTTGTTATCATTTTGATCGGAACTTTATACATGAAAAAAATTTACTCGAAAATTTGTTATGATACGTACGGTCTGTATAATGACTCGCAATTACCGTCTTGCTCGTGCGATCTAATATTGTTTATGTTGTGGTAATTATGGCTTAGTTGAGCAGTAGAGTTATGATGAGATTGTGTTTGAATGGATGTGGCAGCAGAAGATGTTGGGCAGTCTATTTTTATGCGAGATTCATCAGGAGATCTAATGTTGGAGTTACTTTGTAGATCATTACTCCCAGTACCACATGTTCGAATATTTACGGTTCCTCGTTTTTCCAACGCCGTTTCATCTCTCGAAGATATTTTAGCTTCTTGTTGAGCTTTTTTACTGCGCTTCCATTTCATTCGTCGATTTTGAAACCAAATTTTTACCTAAAATATAGAATATTAGGATCAAACTATTATCTGCAATTATGTTGATAGGCAATCAAGTTATTTTCGTTAGTACAGAAATACAGTCGAATAGAATGAAAAATTAATATTTAAAATAAATAATGAGTGTAATAACAAATAACTATAATGATAGGTCTTTTCTGAAAATACATGTTTTTATAATAAATTATGTTATTCCATAATGTATGAAATAATCAAATAATGTAATAATTCTTAAATAGTATGAATAATGTATTACTTTAACAATAGTAATTTTGATTGTACTGTGGTGCTTAGAATGAAAAAAAAAATACGTAGAATTAAAAAAAAAAGAATGGTAATATTTAACATACATTTTTAAAAAACTATACTAAGCTCTTATTTTGCAAGTTTTGAATACAATTTAATAGATTAATATTACTTGAAAAGAATCAATCAATCCGAAAATTAATTTAAAATAGGGGTTTTATTGAAAAAAAGAAGTTGTATTCCACATGCACAAAATGCATGTGTTAAAAAATTATAAGTTATAAGGATTCATGAACAACATCGGTATATTTTAATGCCCCCCAAACAGAATTAAAAAATATTTGCAGGAAAATTAATGATAAAGAGTATACCCTGTTTCCGTCGACACGTGTTATTATAACTAAGTTATAATGTTTAGTAAAAATTAAAAATATTATATTCCTATTGATTAATTAATTAATAATTGTTTATAAGTYTTAAATAATAAATATACTATCTAAAGATATTGGGTCGTAAAGTTTTATTATTATTCAGAATAATACCCATTTTAAGTACGTATTATAGGTAAATACATACGATTTAATACGAAGTAACATAATTACACGTTTTTATATAAGTACCTTCAAATATATAAGTTCATCAATGAATAACAGAATAAGTAAGTACACAATATTTGCGTAAAAAATGTATGTTTTGATGTTAAAGAAAACCTAAATTGTGTAACAAAATTAAAAATATTTTATACATTTTATACTTTTTTATATAGTCTGATTTATATTAGCAAGACTTAATAAAACTCAAATCGATGTTTAGTGAATCGTTAAATTTATGAAATAAACTATGTTTAGTTTTCAATATTACAAAATATATTTTTTTCTTTATTTAATACCAATTGAAGAATAGACGTCAGAATTTATACTCGTATAAAATAATATTTCAATGAGATTTTAGAGCATAGAACCGTAATATTCTTAATATTTTTAAGGCGAAAAATTCTAGCCTCTATATACCTGTAAGTCTATCCAACAGGAGAAAAAAATAGATATTATACCTTCCCTTAAAACAGATGAAATGAGTTGAGAAGCTATGAAAGTAATTAAGTTTTGATGTAGAATTATTAATTGCTAGTGCTGTATTTACAACTTATTTTTAGRGGGAGAAGGGGTGAAAAGTTTATCAAATTATATGTATGTATAGTTAATGCATATAATAGTAAGATTATAAAATCAAATTGATTTAAATTTTTTACTTCACTTCAGAAATGTCAATAGTTAATTCTCTCAATGAATTAACAATAAGACTACATGACCTTAAAATTTTCCTCTATAACGATTTTAATATGATTGTTTATAACAAAAAAATCTTAACGGGGGGGGGGGCGTTTCCATCCCATTCACCACTCCGTAAATATGCCACTGACGATTTATTGTTTGTATTGTTCATCTAACAAATTAGAACCCAAGTAAAATATTATAGGTTTATAGTTTGTCAAGATGGTATGTTTTCTCAACTATGAATCAACCTAACCTTAAGAAGGTTTAATTAGGATAAATAACGAACACTATTGTATAGTACGAAAAAATKATACATGATATACTGGTCTTAATAAATTATGTATGCTTAAAGGTCATAAACATAATAACGTATGATGTGCGGCTATTTGAGTTACTGAGATGTTATGACTTTAATCTTCTGTCGATGGTAGGTGTAGTATACAATATTTTTAAACGTACACCGTACCTACATGGATAGTCGAATAGATGGGTACTTTCTGAAGCCTCGGAGGAGCGTGATGAAAGTATCACGACCAACGTATCTTTATAGTCTCTACATCTAGCTATTGCTTCAATTAACATTCGTATAATATAAACATTTCAGGAATTTACCAGAATAAGGACCATTAAGTCTAAAAGGGGACTTGGTGGTGCGAATGTATGTGCGCACTATGCAGTGTATACTACGCATCGGAGGTATCCATAAATATTTAGATGAGTATATAATTATAAAAATACAAGTAAAAAGATGAAGAAAGTTTTACGAACTGCTGAGTTTCTGTTTTATACATAATTAAATATTACTGCGGCGTGAAATGAATAAATGATGCATTTTTCCGTTGCAATATCTATTCAAATTGAAGATAATTTAAGTATAAACTTTAAACCAAAAATGTGCAAACATCATATGATAATTATTGTGTACCATAACTTACGATGTTATTATATAACAAATTATTTGGATACATATATTATATACCTAATATGATAAAACTGCAAAATGATTAATGATAAGAAAGTATATCAGTACATCATAATTGATAATTTAATGGCACTAAAATATTAAATACAAGCTGAAAAAGTTTTATTTAAATTAAATATAAGTCACGATTCACAAGCCAACGGTTATTTAGATTTATTGTGGAGTAAGAATAAGTGACTGTATTATTAAAGTTTTTCATTAATGATTAATTTTGACGTTTGATATTTTCATATACATTTTATAAAAAAAAAAAAACTGTTTTCCTAGTAAAGTATCTCAAATACGTTCAAACTTCGAAAAAAATCTTTATTTATTAATAAACTCTGAAGTACAAATATATGTTTAAAATAATCATAATATTTATTATACTTAAATTTTCAAACAATTATGTAAAAAACCAATTTTCAGTACAGATTTCTATAATTTGATGATATAATTATCAATTAGAATCTAGATAGGTATATGGGTAATAACTAGGTAATAAAAATTAAGTAAGATTAAATTTTAATCGTTTATTGAAATTTAAAATATTAAAACCAAATTTACATGTTTGATTTAAAGAAAAATTACTATGGTCACACCTAATTGTGAAAATAATTAATTTAAAATCCATAGGTGTATAGGTTGTAGGTTGTAWAGTAAAAAATAGTACAAATTTTACAGCACTTTGCTGATATCAGAAAAAACTAAAAAAGTACATTGTTTTATTCAAATATTGTATTCTTCACTGTATAACTGCAGTATAATACTCTGAGTCTAAAATCCCAGTATTCTCTGCGCAGACGAATAGGTTAATTATAATCCCCTACAACGTACATTGTGAGTGTACCTACTACTAAATTATTATTATTACTGTTATCATTTATTATTATTTAATGAACTATTATGTAATTTGTGTATTCGTGTTAGCGTATTTACCATTTATATACTTTAAATAAATAGTAAATAATAAGTAATATAACTCATTTTGTTTGTTATATTTTAGTGTTAAACTTTGGTACCTATATACATTATGCATGATACATATAATTTGTTATTTTACATAAAATATGATAAAATCTTAACGTATGTACTAAAACAAAGTGTGTGAATTCAACTGTAAACACACAACAGTGTATCGAAACGCTTGTAAAGTACACGTTTACCTTTAAATTGTGTTTGTCAACAAAAAAATTATTCTAAAACAATCTTTAAAATTTTAATGTACACATTTGTAAAAGTATATATTCTCTTAGATTATTTAAAAGCTGYTTTATTGATATTTTAAAAGCTTAAAAATGACTGATGAATGGCGAACAAAGAAGATTTACAATTTTTTCTATGATACAGTTATTTTAAATTACAAACCTATATTAGTAATAATTATTTAAATATTCTTACCTGAGTTTCGGTGAGCATTAAATTWGTCGCCACCTCGAATCTTTTTGGCCTGGATAAATATTTATTTTGTCTGAATTGTTTTTCCAACTCTAGAAGCTGCTGACTAGTGAATGCAGTTCTTGGCCGTCTTGTCTTCCCCAGTAAAGCGTGTGGGTGTGGACCTGTAAAAATGTAATCGTTTTCTTATAATTGTTAAAATAATTAAAGTAGGTGTGTACATTTTTTAATACTTTGTAATCAGAATAACTAATGTTTTGTGTCCACTGATTTGTTGAAATCCATTTACCAAAAGTCATTTCAGTCAGACTATATAGTGCTTATAAAATTAGGCTTAGGGACTTCTAGCATTTGCATATTTTTTTAATTATTGTTAAATATAGCAGAGTGCGAAATAAATTCGTTTCTTGTTGCCATGATATCAGATCTAAAATTCAAATGTGCATATTTTTGCATATTTGTTAGATTTTGTAGGAGAGTGCATATTTTAAAATTTTTATGCTTATTTTGCATATTTTGGTAAAAATTTCAAATTTCAAACTAAAAACTATAGATACATATAATTATACATACATATTTCAACCGGTCGAAAAAAAATGTATTAATATGACTTAATACTTCTAGTGATATAATGCTATCTGCAAACTACCTCTCATATCTCGTTATAATTTTTGTGTAAGGATTAACTATAAAGAATACTATAAACCCGTATCGATCGTAAAACCCGCTGGATATTATAAGTTATAATAATATTTTTTATTAATAATTTTTTTTAAATTAAATATAAAGATTGATAATAACATGTTGCAACATAATATTAGGGTATTTTATGTACATATACRTATAGACTAAAAGATAAAATTATAATGTTTAAATTTCATAGTATTTCATTATAATCATATGTTGGGTTAGGAAACCTATATTATAGTAGATAATATTTGAGATGAAAATCCGGAAATCGATTGTGAAACTTTCACAAACCAGAATGCGATATTCATTAAATGTATTCTTGTTGCCTCTATACATTTCATTATTGTTTATTTAAAAAAAAAAACCTATCACATATACAAACAGCTAGTGAGTGTTGGGAATTTATTACGCTTCGTTCGTCATTGACGCAGGATAATGTTGTATTATCATTTTTGATTTGAAAGCAATGATGAATCATCGCGTACGAAACATAAAACTGAGGGAAGATCTGGTTTATTAAAGTGTTTGTCGTTTTCCAACTTAAAGTGATCATAAACCAAATTTGCATACCAATGTATGAGGGTCTTGTTAACATTAACAACATTACATATGATTAAAGTAGTAATCGGTAATATTGAAACTAAGTTTATGTATGTTAACTGTTGACAAATTTAATATTGTCGTGATTTGAAAAATGTACCTATATAAATCAAACTTCGAATAATCAAATATTTATAACACCTATATAAGGTGTTTGAGATATTTATTGATKCATATCAAATTTTCAACCAATTATTATAATTTTATAGTTGTGATAAGTATATGTATGAATATAATTAATGACTTTGCACTAAAATGTCAATTCTATAGTGTAAACTTTAAATATTGAAGCATTATCAATTATCATACAATAATTGTGCTGCAAATTGAATTGATATAAATAAATTTAATTCTTTCTAAAATTACCTATATRTTATTTAATATTTACCTATTAAGCCAAAGTTTTAATTCTAAACTATTGGTTACCTGCCTAATTATATAGGTTGTATGTACAGAGTATAAATTAATATTCAAATATGTAAGGTAATAACAATCATAAAATATTTTAGTATTATACAATTAAAACGGTCGCAAATAAACAAATAATATTGATAACTTTT